CAGCAATCTGATTTGAGAACTGGGTATTTTCCTAAAATCGCCTTACTAAAACTATGGCTGTGTTCACGCTGCTGCTCAGATGAGTGCCACGCTACTCATCTGTCTTGGGTTTGCTAGTCTCACATAAGGTGTTAGGATAAAATCTCTCAAATGGTAAGGAGATTTGCTGTCGCCTTGCTAAATCACTTCAGAAATGATGAAATATACTTTTGATAGATGGAGACTTCCTGCACCGGTCGGTCATCTCCCTTCTCCTCCCAGCCTGTTCGTTCTGTATATGTTCCAGCAAAGCTTCATTTTTATTTGTAACTACTGTGGTTCAGTACTCTAATCCCATGTTTAATTGCCATCCCACTGTAGATAATACAGAGCATTTACATTTCCACTAATGAACACCACTTTTGTTCTTATGCCTGGTCTGTTGTATTTCTTGCTTTATGTTTAATAGCTCTTAAACAAGAATTAAATGAGCTATATTGGCAAGTTATCCAGAGAAGGTCTTTCTATACTCAAGTTCACTTCTTTCATATTATCATTGTTATCACCTGTAAAGTAACATGAAACAGAATTTTTATCCTTGCCAGCTATTTCTCTTAAGTTACAGTTCTTAAAAGTCTGGAGGTCTGACGCAACCACTAAAAAGTAAAGTCTTTCAGTAATAATGCAAATGGTTTATGAACTGTGTGGGTCTCGGGTTGTTTATTGATGCCTGTTGCAATTTTCCCAAACTCTTCGTGGTTTTTCCATTATGCCTTCCAGTTAACAGCTAGTTCCCAATTATATCACGCACAGTGTTCTCTGAGTTTATTTCATTCATGTAGTCTCCTTTCTGTCTTCATTACTTCTCCTGATAATCATCAGCGTATGTAGTCACTGCATTTAAGTTAATCCTAAACATTACACTTCATCAGACTGAATGCATGATTTGGCTCCTTAACTATTCCTGACCTGCTGCCCTTAAATAAAGGTCTCCTGTTCTTTGCAGAGGGTTAACCAACACTTTTATTCAAGGCAAGGGGCATTCATTATTTTCATTTTAAGGTGTCTTTATTTCTTCTGTAAGGACACTCAATTTATGCCATTCATTTTTTCATGGCTATGTTCTTGGACTTCAAATCTTCTTTACCTCCCACCCTGCTAAGCAATTCTTCCGATTCTTATATCCATCCTTTTTAATCTGCTGGAGGGTGAAATATAATTTGTTCCAATGAGCAGTCTACAGATTTCAGAGCCCACATGGGCCAAGCTGTCTTTTGAAGATGAAAGCCAAAAGATACCCAGAGCACCTCAGGGCAATGAAAATACAGGTGATACTTTTTTAATACCAAGCTGACTTCCCTCAGGGATTAATGATGGAGGAAAAAAAAATCTTGACATGAATGCCCTCTGCTACAGAACCAAACTGAAAGAAAGTGTAAGATCAGGGATCACAGCCGTTGCTTGGATGGCAAACTTGAGCCAAACAATTTCCTCCTGTCTATAAAGGGATATGAAAGAGGCGAATGAAAATTAGAAAAACTAACACATCTTCTGCTTCCCTCCCTCAGGGAGAGAAAGAAAAATAATCTAAGAAACAAGAAAGCATTTTCCACAAATAATATTTTGGTGTGAGTGAAGCTAGTCTACAGCTCTGGGCCAGTAGAGCATTAAACTAACGTACCGTAAGAAGCAAGATCCTAGGACCACAAAACAGGGAGCCGTATGTGTGAACTCTATGAGCAATCTCCTGGCACATCCTGGAGATAAAGACATTGGAGGCCTAGCCTCGATAAAGAAAACTTCCAGTGCTGATAAAATTGTCAGAAAAGCGCACATACATACACAAAAATTGCAGGAAAGAAGTATGCTTAGGCACAAAAAAAAATTCACAACAAAAAACATTCTTTCACAAATGAAAACACAAAACCAAAAGATCAGCAGGACAACTAAGTCATCTGAGCCCTATCAGACTGGTGACTTTGTTATGTACCACCTCTCAGAAGACTGGGCGAGCACTGTTCCCTTACTATAGGAACACACTCAAACTGTGAATAAAGAAAAATAAGTGAAGCATTAGAGGGGGAGAAAAATCAAAGTTTCATTGTTATAATTACACAGCACAATGATAAGGGTAATTTTTCTTAAATCAGAAAATAAATTCTAGGTTCAAGTTCCCTGAAGGATATAAAATATTAGAGGATTTTTTATGGTTGTAATCACAAACTCATTTCTCCAGCCACTACTGGCCGTGTCTAATTAGGGCAAAGTATGTTAATGATACAGCGGCACAGCCCAGAGATGTCTTCAGTTGCAATATTAATTGCATTTAGGGAAAGAAGCATGAATTGTGCTTATACAAGCTAATTAGTATGGGTTTGCTAATTAATACTGGAAAGTCAAACTGCCTTTGTCTTGTCAACTGCAATTAGCTGAAGATGTTTAAATTTCTTTTCTCTCTTTTTTTTTGCTCTTCCAGTAGTAAACTCACTTTAGCTGACAAGCAATGAAATCATGTGCCGGAGTACTCAATGGCAGTTAGTGCAGCAAGTCCATCCCACTTTCCTCTAGCAAGACCTTGTGCCCTGGCCTAGCACAGTGTCCCCTATAGCACACACCACCCTTCATCTCGTATTGTCCCCGTGGACACAACTCCCTGAACCAGGGCCCTCTCCTCCCAAGGACACAGAGCATGCAGATACTGTCTTAGGGAGGCCACGATCCTATCAGATTTATGCCACAAGTATTTTACTTTTAAATATTGCTACGTAAAGAATGAATTATTTACCACGGCATCTAAGATGCTCCCCATTGCCTACAAGAAACCCCATCAAACTCATTAGTGAGATCCAGTCAGCTCGTTCATTAGCCCCAGAGCACACTGCTTCATTTCCAGTGCTCTGGGGAGGGTGGCAAAGCCATTAGCACTCTTCAGGGTGGTAGCAGAGATGTCACCTCTACAGAGGTTTATCCCAGAAGCAGCCCAAAGACCCATCGGACTGTATGATAGCTCCCGACAGGTGTTTATTCCATTTCACTTAGGGCCATAAGTCTGTTTGCAGAATGGCTGATGAAAAGCAATATCCACATCTGCCAGCACCCAGAGCAGGATGGGCCCTTCTGCATCGTCCCAGCCATGGTGGCTTAACATCAAACTAACAAGCAGCGGATCACGGGTGAAAAAGGAGGAGAGGGATGAAAAGGAAGGAGAGATGCCAGGAATCCAAATCAGGCAAACAATTGCTGAAGTGTCAACTTTAAGAGAGTCTGAAAATAAGGTGGATCCTGATCTGGGGAGGGGGCATTAAAAAAAACCACAAAACATGTAAAGAACATTTTGTTGGATGGCAGGGAGGAGAGTGGGGCTGATGGTACCAGTGCTGGAGCCCTTGGGCAGGCAGCTAATGGAAGAGCCCCATCCAAAGGGGACAGACCTCTGCCACCCCTAATGTTGTAGAAGACAAAAAGTGACACATCTTTCCCTACCAGGGAGATTTCAGCTGGGGGTGAAGAACACCTCACCATCTGCAATCCATTGTCTAAAGCACTACAAAACACAGCCTATTCATGTGAGGTTGATGTAAGCTTTACTGGAAGATCACAATCCACTGAGTAACGCTTGGGAATAGGCACTGAACACTGACTGCTGCTTTATCCTCTGCTGATGGATGATGCACAACACCAATTAATACTTTAACACTGGAAGTTCCAGTTTCTCCAGCTCTCTGCTAGCCTGTTTAATACGACAAACTTTTGAAGGCAAACAAATAACTCAAAATCCAGGCTTAACAAGCCAAAAAGAAAAACTTTGAAATGTTTAAAAAAAATACACATCAGAACATTTAAAACATAAGAGCAAATTTATGCTCTGATAACGTCCAGTGAGCACAATGCAAAATTGACTGTATAGAATTTAAAACTATAACAAGGCAGCGTGTAATGAGATCAGATGGTAAATAGGATTAATTCAGTTTTCTTTGGAAATACCAGTTCTGACCTGCATCACCACAGAAAGTGGCTAAGCACACAAAAATGTTTGCCCACAATGTAAGACCACCCCAGAACTAGAATCAATTAACACTCGCATTATGAAAAATCTGATGTTGAAACAGCGAGGAGCACAAATTAAAAAAAAAGATACTAGCAGATGTATGGCAACCTATTAATAGTACAGCAGGGGCACGCTAGTTCTGCCGTTTGGTGCCCTAGTAGAGTCAAGCAGAAGTCTAAAAAGACTAGTGCTGGCACAGGAGTTTATGATTTGGATTTTAGAGCAGATGTTGTTTAGCACCTACTTACTAGCCAGTGACACATGCCTATTTTTTCATTAGTAATAAAATTAATCCAGTATAAAACACATCTACAGAATGAGTGTCTACATTTTGGATGCTGCTCAGGTTTTTCTTGTGACTAGAAAAAGTTGCAGGAATCCCACAACTCGCCCATTAGCAAAAACATTGGTTCATGAAACAGCTTAACGCTGATACCTCATTTATTCCCGAGTATGAAGAATCGTATACAGTAGTCATGAAACTGCACATAAACCTCCCTACTGCCTGGTTTTGTGGCCTCTTATTTCTGGTCCTTGAGGGAACTGCCAATAAAATAGACAAACTCAGCAGAAAATTAACAGATATTATAAAAAACTAGTTCATAGTAATTCTGTCACATCTCATCTACTTGTCCTTTGCACACTTGAGACTGAATCAAAGGTCCCCAAAGAAAGGAGTTAATTCAGTATGAAATTAAATGCTTGCTTCTGATCTAGAACTACTAACAAAGAGAATGGAAATTGCCAAGAAAAGGAAGACAGATCGCTATATCTCATCCAACACTTGTTCCAGGTGAGTACGGAGATAGAGTACGCTAAGACTAGCAGTAGCGATACAAACTTTTACAACGCTTATTTGCTATTCCTTTCTGATTATTTGGAACCTATCCACTGTTTAAATGAACTGAACTTTGCATATGTTACTGCTCTGTAAAACAATTTAAAAAAAAAAAAAAAAAAGATGAACACTTACCATCTCTGCTCTTTGCTTATGATTTCCCACTTCTTCCAGAACTTGAGAAAGCTGAGCCTTCAAGACAAAAAAAAAAAAAAAAGAAAATGAAATCTAGGACATATTTTTGGAAGTTTAGTAAGACTGCACTCCTTCCCCGCCAACCAAAAAAGCCACCAAGGGCACCATGATTTTCACAGCATTGAAAAGGAATGATAAGCATTGGGTTTTATCAGCATCCCATTCCGTGAGACAATCCTGTCCCAAAGAGCCTGAAGACTACCTACACAAGAAAGAAGAGGTTTAACGCAGAGGAGAATTCCACTGGATTAGCTATCCCAAATTTCAATTCCATGGTCCAGTCAGAGAACCATGCCTCCTCTCCATTTCTTTGGAAGTTGCAGAAAGAGTGGTCTAAGACCCACCCAATTTTGCCAACCTTAACTTTAGAGAAAGAAGAGGCTTGCTCCACAGCTGAAAGGTGTGTTTCAAGAGAACTTCACAGAAAACATTCTGTTGAAGTTCTGGGGTATAGGGCTGGGTTTGGAAGCCTTCTAAATTGTTGTGGTAAAATATGAAGAAAATCTTCTCTGCAACATAACCCTACTGAATTTCTGTGAGGAAAGGTCCCAACACAAGGTTTTTTGCTTTTTTAAGAGGAATTTTGAAATTTAAAGAATCTCAAACCAAAGCAGAAATACGTTATCCACTTATAATTTGGGGAGAAATGGGAACTTGACTCAGAGGAGGATCTTTCACAGAGTTTATGAAAAAGGATTTTAAACAAAATGGGTATTTTGGAAACGGTTAAGAGAAGCCACATATACTACTTCAGTGCTATTACTTCCCACATCTTTTATTTCACAACACTCTGCTAGCCTGTAATCAGCCTTTCTCTGGTTAGCAAAAAGCCCCAAAAATAGTCACAAATGATGACAGAGGAGCTAATTTAAACAATGTAAACAAACAAGACAAGAACTAAAAAAAACTTGCCTACAAACTAATTCACATAATTTCAGGCAGATATTCATTAAAACCCTCTGGAGTCCCTCTAACAATCTCTCGCCACACATGAAATGGGTCTTTTGAGTACTACATCCAAACGAGAGGCAAACAGCAAGCAGTTTATTACAATGAAAAGGAAAACATTAAGCTTTGAAGGCTAACTGCACTGAAACGCAAGCAAACAAAAAAATTACAGTCTTCGGGTTCAGCACAGCAGAAGTTCAATTTTGCAAACAAACAACCAAACTGTTCAAGACTTCCCTGGCCCCAGAGCTCAGCAGAAACTGAAAAAGTTACAGATTCTTGCTGTGCAGGGCCTGGGATGATGTGACATTATTTAAGGAAGAGACACTCAAATAAGATGAAAAGGGTTTTAATACAAGCCTGGGACCTGGCACAGGGAAATGAAACACACTCATTAAACACCGCGGGAGATGCCAGTCCCAACCAAACACAGAGTGCATGTACAAGTAAGTGAGAAGAAAATATGAAATTATCACCAAGTTTGATGCTGAAACATCAGGAAACTAGAAATTTGCAGACACCTGGGAAAGACTTTTTTGCCCCACTACTCTTGTATCATGGTTTAAGCCCAGCTGGCAACAAAGCACCACGAAGCTGCTCACTCACTGCTCCCTGCCAGCCCTGGTGGGATGAGGAGGAGAAAATATAAAGAAATGCTTGTGGGTCAAAACAAGGACACGGAGGGATCACTCACCACTTATGGGCACAGGCAAATGACAGGCTCAACTTGGGGAAAAAAACCAAATCAATTTAATTTGCTACCAATCAAATCAGAGTAGGATAATGAGAAGTAAAACCAAATCTTAAAAACACCTTCCCCCCACCCCTCCCTTCTTCCCGGGTTTAACTTTACTTCCAAATTCTCTCCCTCCTCCCTCCCAGCAGTGCAGAGGGACGGAGAATGAGGGTTGGGGTCAGTTCATCACACGTTGTCTCTGCCACTCCTTCCTCCTCAGGAGCAGGACTCCTCACTCTTCTCCTGCAATGGTGTGGGGTCCCTCCCATGGGAGACAGTCCTTCACAAACTTCTCCAACGTGGTTCCTTCCCACGGGCTACAGTTCTTCACAAACTGCTCCAGCGTGGGTCCCTTCCACGGGCTGCAGTCCTTCAGGCACAGCCTGCTCCAGCACAGGCTGTTCCGTGGAGTCCCGGCCATCTTGGAGGGCATCCATCCCCCTGCTCCGGCGTGGGCTCCTCTCTCCCCGGGCTGCAGGCGGGCATCTGCTCCCCCGCTCCCCTCCATGGGCTGGGGGGGACAGCCTGCTGTCTGACCATGGGCTGCGGGGGCATCCCCTCCTCTGGCACACCTCCTCTCTTCCTTCTTCACTGACCTCGGTATCCACAGAGGGGTTCCTCTCACATTCCAGTCCCCTACTCACGGCAGGTTCCCCTTCGGAAATCTGTTCTCCCAGAGGCGCTACCACCCTCACGGACGGGCTCGGCCTGGGCCAGTGGCGGGTCCAGCTTGGAGCCGGGGAAGCTTCGAGCAGCTTCTCACAGGAGCCACCCCCGCAGCCCCCTCTCCCACTACCAAAACCCCACCACACAAACCCATACCATATTGAATCAGGTAGAATTACACCAGCAGGAAAGAGTTGCATGTAGAAGACTTAGAAAACATGCCCTCAGAGATGTTATTTATGAGAGATGCTAGCATAGCCTTTGCAAAGCACCCCAAGACTGACTGAATATTTTTGATCAAAAATACCCCCGACATTTATTACACTTACCTATATGAAGATGACCTTTAGATGGGAACTACTGGCCTATTCTAAACTAGATGTAAAGAGCCATTAAGAATTACATGTTTGCTTACAGTAGCTACCATTCCTGAATTTGAGGGTTGTGTCTCTGTTTAGCCTCCTGTTAGTACAGACTTCTATAGAATCACGGAGTAATTCAGACTGGAAGAGGTCAGCTCAGTCCCCTGCCCAGAGCAGGGTCAGCTACACGAGGATCCTCAGGGCTCTTGGTCAGCTGGGTTCTGAGTATCTCCAAGGAGGCTCCAAAGAGCTCCAAGGAACTCCAAAACCTCTCTCTGAACAACCTGTGCCAAGCTTTGGTCACCTTCACAGTGGAAATATTTTTCTTTATAATATCAAGACAACATTACCCTAGGAACCTGTTTAACTGGATGGGTGTAGCAGCATTTTAAAGTACAAGACCGTGCTAAAATTCAGAAAAAAAGGATAGAAAAGATCCTGACACATTTTACTTCAGGAAGAGGCTTCAAAAACTTTTAGACAGGAGAGAAATAATACAAAAGGATGGGAGAAATCAGAAATACAAGCAGGAAATATTCCATAATTTACCTTATATATAATATGGCTTGGGGAAAATAACCAAATACAAACTTCTCAAGCTGCTATACCAGCAGAGACCTAGCGGCAAACCGGGACAGCAAGTCCAAAACAGCACCATGATAACGGCAGATCAATATGACTTGGAGAAGCAATCAGGTAAGAATTAAATCACAAAGAAGGTTTTCTTCATTGCATTTATTTCTAGGCAGTTCATCTCAAAGGGGAAGAGTAGCTAACCAGTGGGAATTCAGAGGACAGCAACTAAACTGACTAGATTGCTGGAAGAAATGATTTATGAAGATTAAAAGATTTTTAAATATATGATTTGACTACAACTCTCACAGAAGAGCAAAAGGGACATATTTAATGCATTGAGAGCTGTTACAATGACACAGCTGGAAACAAGGAGGCTTTTCCAGCACAGCCGATGCTGTCTGATGCACTCACAGACCAGAGCAGGGACCCTCCCCACTTCCCTGCTCCCTGCCCATACCCACGTACGGAAGAGCGAGACAAAGCCCAACCTTTCGGTGGGGTCCCCTGTGCCTGCTCTCTCCTGGCTGTGAAACAGATGATCTGAATGCTTTATCACATCCAGTTTGTAAACATTAGCCCTACCCCAGACTTTTTATTAGCTTAAATCAAATATTGAACCTAGCTCAGCTGTTAGAGGACAGCTGCTTGCAAAGTGATTCACTGCCATATTCCTTCTAGGCCACAAGAAAATACAACCTAATCACCGGCAGCATGACAGATGCACACATTTTTAATTATGAAGAAGAAATTAGGCTCTGAACTTATCCCCACATCTCACTTAATCAGAGTGCTTTGGAGGAGCTGCCAGCCACCACGGCCATGGAAGGGAGGAGCTGCAGAGGGCTCTGGACCGGCGCCTGAGAACGTGCTGAGCCCCTGAACCCAGCCCCGCTTCGGGTATTTACCGGGAAAGACCTAAAAGAAATAGTGTTATGTTGTTTCTTATAATTTACCTTTTCGGAAACGAACTGTTGGATTTCTCAGTTCAATCATCTCTGGCCACTTGCAGCCAACAAAAGCGTGAGCAATGAACCTGAGCATTTAGGGTGGTTCAGAGGGAGATGGTGTGCAAGAGTCCCTGACCCCTGCACCAGCAGGCATGGGAGCGTTATCTGCAGCTGATGCTGGAGCAGTTTGCCAGTCCCATCTCAGAGTTTCACACTGGGAAAAGCAATGTTCCACCTATACGTAGCTCAGCTCTGTTTTACCGGCTATTCGATTGATCGCATTCACCCTGGTATCTCGGGAATCTCTCAGTAGGATAGACTTGCGTGTTGAATTTTCAGACTATGCATAAAAGTTAACTTAAAGCTCCAAGGAAATTTTCATTACTTAATACACATGTTAAATTCCCACAGATCACTGAGCTCCAGCATTAAGAAATCTGATAAGCAAAGAGATATTAAGAATCAGATATACAAATACATATAAAGTCCAATTTGCCCACTGAAGGCAGCACAACCAGGTAAAAGAAAATCAAGTAGCAAAGCAGGAAAAAAAAAAAAAATCTTCTCAAGTATTCAGTCAATTACTTTAATCCTCCCAAAAAAGGGTTTGTCAATTCAAAACATTCATCTTACATGACAACACAGTCTAATCTACTGTCAATGCTACTGTCATCCTCAAAAGAGAGAGGCAGGAAGGGAAAGATAACCTGTGCTCTGGCCTCGCCAGGATACTGCAACTCAGGGCTGAAAGAGGAGCAGGAA